CCCTTTTTTCAGGGCTCGGTCTGAAGGTCTTGGGGCTTCTCCCGGGATGCTGGGGGATGTGGGGATCTCCGGCTTTCAGGGTTTTGAGCTTTAGGCAAACAGGGCTTTTAGGGTTTAGGCTTTAGGGGTTTAGGGTTTAGGGGTTTAGGGTTTACGGGTTTAGGCATCTCGGGAATTTTAAGGATCTGAGTTCTAAGATTCTAGAGGGGTATGTCAGGGTGTTTCGCGATGTTCAGGATTTCGAGCTTGTGAGAAACCAGAAACACCATGTCGCGGCGATTCTACCTTGGAGACGTCCGTCTCCAGTATCGTGGGATGGAACTTTATGCAGGGTTTGGCATCTAAGGTTTGCAGTTTTGGGTTTCTGGGTTGTTGTCTTGGCTGCCTACTATATCCGACTATTGGGGCTTGTTTCCACTGCATGAAGAAACATCTGTCGAAAAGGGAAAGTCAATCCAACCAAGGGTTGCGCCAGAAGATCCGCCGCTTTGGATACGTTTCCGTTGAAGAAACAGCACGCCTTGCCACTCTTACCATTTCTCCTGAATCCTAAACCCTATAAACCCTATATACCCTATAAACCCTATAAACCCTATAAACCCTAAACCCCTAAACCGAATCCAGGATAGGATTTCTGAAGGTCCGGTCAGGAATCCGGAAATTGCCCCCGAATCCTGACTGAGGTGATCTTCCTTTCGGACGGCGGCTTTGATGAAACCAGATCAGCAGACTTCGCGCGCTTCATAGCTTTAGCGGTTTCAACCATTGAGGGGTGCAGGCTGATCTTGCTGGAATTTGAGAAACAGCTATATCACCTCTAAGCTGCCGCCTTTCGAAGCCTACGTCGAAAGTGAGCGCCTGGGCTTATGCTTTGACATTTTATACATATGGGTTTTAGGGTCTAGCTAAGGTTCAGATCAACGGGCGCAGGGTATATACACAGGTGCATAAATCCGAATCGGAATGAGTATACTGCAGGCTTCGCCAGCCTAAGCCTTGATTTAACACCCTTAGCCCCTTAAATCTTAAATAAACTCCCCAAGCCCGACACCTTAAACCCTCAAGCCCTAAACCCTAAAGCCCTAAACCCCTGAGCGTCAAAATCCTGAAATCCCCGATTTGCAGCCAGAGCTTTTTCGTTCCAACGGTGAGCTGAAGCTTCAATTCTGCTTGACTAGAGGTTCAGGGGACTTCGTAAAACCCTAGTTCCGGTGAACTTAACCCTACTTGCTACATGATCTCCAAGCGACTAAGGCCTTCAAGCCGACATAGCGCGATTTCTGTGTCTGTCCCGAAAATCGTATCGAAGCCGAAAGTCGTGTGCCTCCTAGTCTCTGCGTAGTTTCTGTCCCAATGTAGTATGAGAGTATATCTATATCTATACCCTGAGAGCCCCATTCTAATTCTTCAGGCCCCGATGATCATCCTGAGGTCGGTAACCCTTTTTTTGTTAAGGATCTTCTGAGAAGGGGCCGTGCCGTCCGAATGACGATCTCCCCTAACCCCTGCAGCCCCAGAGCCGCCACTCTCTAGGGCCAGGGCCCTACAGTATTGAAGCCCGTGGTGCCTTGGAGCCCAAAGCAAAAAGCTGCTTAGGGTGAGGGTTTTTAGGGTTTTGAATTTAGGTTGTTTACAAGTATATTATAAAGCCCCCTTAAAGCCTGGAAGAACCCCTTCTAAAGCTGCAACTTTGCAGCCCTTCAACAATCCCAAACCCGAAACCCTAAGCAGGTGAGCCGACGGATCCCCAGGAGACTGAATTTTTCTGGCTTCTTGGTTTAGGGTTTAGGGTTTAGGGTTTAGGGCCTCGAGGATTCGGGGCTCATGGTCCAGGGCTTAGCACTGTTGGGATTATTTACATGGAACCGTGCCTAAAAGTGCTGGGGTTGCTGTACCGGCGCCTGGATGGTTCGGAAACTGGTGTTTCATAGCCCTGTTACAGAGCCATGCAGACGCATGCTGGGCATTCAGGATTTGATAGATCAGGGCGTCGCGAATTTTACGGTGCCTCGGTGTCCAGTGTGGCCAGTGCCAAGGTGCCTCGGGTCTAGGGACCCTTGCTCAAGTCAGCATTGTAAGCTATAGGACCCCACAAACGCGCTATTGGCTTGGCTTTCAATATTACGGTGCTCTGCGCGATGCTACCTCCAATCTGTGCCCGTGCCAGGACATGCTCAGCACTCTGCGTGAGCTGACCTCCACGCGTTGCCTGGTTTGCAGCAGCGTTTGAACCCAGCAAAACCGCACAGCAACATGAGCAGAGGCATTTGTGTCCTAGGCCGAAGATCTGTTATTTAGTATCCCTGGCAGGGTTTCGCATCACTGACTGACAACCCCTAAACCCTGAACCCTAACCCCAAAAGCCCCTAAATGCCCAGTAGTCGACTGCGAACCCTGAGACCTCATATCTCTCATGTCCGAGCTGTGAGAGGGTGAACCCGAAGCCCAAAACCCCGAACGTCCTGGACTCCGTAACTCTAAACCCTAAACCCTAAAAACTAAACCCTACATTAAGCCCATGGCTTGTCCGAGTTTTTGAGAGCATAATGTTAAACCCTGCTTGGGTCTAAATGCTGACGCCACAGACTGCCCCGAACATTGAACATTATCAACTCAAGCTCAAAACAAACCCTAAAGCCTAAACCCCAAACCTTAAACCCTACTCCCGAAAAGTTGGCTAAGGTGCCAACCCAAAGGAACTCACTGCAACTTGGCTGCCCGGTGGTGTGGTGCTGGGGTTCGGGTTTATGGGTTGGGGTTCTTTAGGGTTTTAGGCTTTAGTGTTTAGGGTTTAAGGTTAAGGGTTTGGGGTTTGGGGGGGTTTTCGGGCTCCTTCTAAACGCTTCACGTTGGTGTTGATTTTACGTGCTGGCTTTCCAGCATTGTTGTGGTGGGCTGTATGCCGATACGGCTGAAAGGCTCTCGTAAAGGTTGCACAAGGGTTGGATGTGTGTTGAGGCGCACTCAGGCTTGGGTTTTTGAAAGGCTTCGGTTATGCAAGGGTTTAGAAGGGGCTTTATCGCGCTCGTGTGAGACTGAATCGTGGAGCGTCCCAGGTCTTCAGTTTAAGCATTCGTAGGTGCAGCTGGGCCGGTAAACTTTCACAACCTTGCTGGCTTGGGTGCGAGCTTGACGACTTCCCGCACTATAGGTACCTGTAATTTGAGTGTAAGAAACCTTAGTGCATTGCAAAATATGCAGCTTTACACCAGGTTGCATCAGCGTCAGGGCTTCGGAGTAGAAAGATAAGTAACTGCACGAGTCGGAAGGAACTGATAAGTGCAGTCGCTATGTGGGATTTCGAGGTGTCTTGAGGATAGAGTTCTGCAAAGGCAGTAGCAGTAGTAGTAGTAGTAGTAGTAGTAGTATGGATCAACACGAGGCTGAGAGGCAGAATGCAGCAGAAGTGCTTTCGAAATCTTTCCAACTTCTTGTACTTAGACTTCAAAACAAGCCTTAACCCCCAATCCCTAAACCGTGGCTTGTCACCCCAGCCACCCTTAATGCCAAGATAAACGCATCAGCCCTGGCCCAACCCTAAATCCAAATTCCTCAGCAGGCCCCGTGCCGCACAGATCCCTTTAAAGGAACCTTCACAGATCCCTTTAAAGGAACCTTCATAAATCCCTTGAAAGGAACCTCCATAGATCCCTTTAAAGGAACCTCTATAGATCCCTTTTTTTTTGGAAGTCCGGTAGGTCCCGCTTTGGGTGAGGCCCTATAGACCCCGGAGATCCCACCCCTCTCACAAAAAAAAACAATGGAGGTCCTAAATCTCCAGGCCGGGAACTCAACAGCCTTAATCCTAGGTTTAGGGTTTAGGGGTTTAGGGTTTGGGGTTTAGGTTTTTAGGGATTTAGGGTTTAGGGTTCAGGGTTTGGAGGGAGACCCCTTAAAGACAGGGGACCCTTCTTAACCCTACTTATGGCTCTTGCAAAAGCTCAAGGGTCCCCCTAATCCTAACTCCTACTTAAAGCCACTAAACCAAAAGCTTTAACCCAAACGCCTTAAAGTATGAGCCCTTAGAGCGTTAGGGCTCCAAAGCCTTAAAGTATGAGCCCTTAGAGCCTCAGGGTAAATGCCTGAGGTCCACTGCATTGGCTTCGGAGAAGGTGCTGCGGCAGCCGCAGCGGCTCGATGGGCAGTCGAGGGATATAGGGGTTTCCGAAAATTAGGGTTTGGGAGTTAGGGGTACCCTATTTTGCGGTCCTTTATAATAAGGACCCTACTATTCAGTATCAATATTGAGGGGGTTTCCGAAATAGGGGGCCCTAATATAGTACCCTGAATAGTAGGATCCCTGCTATAAGGACCCCAAAATAAGGTACCCTAATTTTCGGAAGCTCCTATATTGATACTGTATGTAGCCGTAGGCCCCTTAGTAGTTCCTTGTTGGGATTACCCTTATATGAACCACAAAAAGGAACTACTTAGGGGCCTATGGGTAGCGATAACAAGAGCCGCAAGAATAATAAGAACAATAACAGTAGTAAGAGTGTTAATGATAACATGATGTTCATAGCAATCGCGATAACCCAAGCAGGGTTGGTTTAGGGTTTAGGGTGTAGGTTGTGAGGGTGTAGTAATATAGTAGGAGGGACATGGCTGCAATGTATACAGATCCAAAGTAACTAGAAGGGGTTAAGGGGTGGAGATTTAGGAGTTTAGGGGTGTATAGGGTTACACATGTCTTGTAAATTGTTGTATATACGTCTGTGTGTGTGTATATATATATATATGGCTGCATAATCGTACTTCAATGCACTTGAAGACTTGACGACTATTGCCTGAAGAACTTTCGTACAAATCTTGACGATGTATTGCTAGAGTGAGTAGTTCAACATTATAGGGGTACACAGGTCGACTTCACAGATTTCGTCTAGGCATCCGGATTTGAACCGGGCACGTACAGGCCGTTTGTGTTTGCCCTGTGGGTGCAGTGTGGCTCGAGTTAGGGCGCAGTGTTGCAGAAAAGGGCTGAAGGGACCCGTAGTGACGCAATGGCACGCAGCTGCTTGAGGCGGTGTGATACCCTGAAGATGACCCCAACGTGGGTACTTCTAGGGTTGAGCGTTTTCGTTGTAGGCTTGCTCGCGATCGTCACAAGGCGCATGACCAACTCTCCCCATAAGATCGGGTCCTTATTGCTCGTGTGCATGGGCAGCCTCACCACTTGTGCTGCCTTGGCCGAGACTTGTCTTGAGTGTTACCGAGATGAGGGAGCAGAATCAGGAACTTCAGCACCGGAGGCTCGGCGCTTGAGATGGGCAACCTGCAGTTTCCGAGACCTGACGGCAGAGGTGGCCGAATTCAAGGAGGTGGTGCTGCAGGGCCATGATGACAAAAAGCGGTTGGAAGGGAGCACTCTAATCACTCTAATCCTACCACCGACCAAGGTGCGACAGGACACAGGCTGTGTATGTTGCCTAGAAGAGTTCCGACCTACCAGCCGCGTCGTCGTCCTTCAGTGCGGGCACGTCTATCACAAAGAATGTCTTTCACGCTGGTTGCTGTCTTCGTCGGCAGCCGCCACAATGTGCCCGATCTGCCGCATTTGCTTAGAACTGCCGAGCGTCTAGTGAGTCTATCAGGCCGCCAGAATGTGCCCGATCTGCCTCATTTGCTTAGAACTGCCGAGCGTCCAGTGAGTCTAGCCTTTTTCGGCAGCAAAAGCCTGGGCCGGGCCATGCAACTCACACCGAGTTTTGAATGGATCATCAATGGGTTCTTGTGTACACATATGTATGTATGTATGTGTGTGTGTGTGTATATATATATATCCATCTATCCTTCTATCTATCTCTCTCTTTAGAGAGAGACGGAGAGAGACAACAAGAGATCGAGGGAGGGAGGGGGGGAGGGAGGAAGGGAGGGAGGGAGGGAGGGACAAGGGGGTGGGGGTAGAGCTCAGGATTGTGGTGAACACATGTTGTTAGTGCATTTCTGCTTCTCATACTCCATGTTGTGCGCCGTACCACGCAAGCACGGAAACACATCTAGCTTCAGACTCCCCCTGTGGCTGTAGCCTAAGATGCAGCTTCGCGAAAAAATTGTCAAGTCTCATGAAGTCTATATTCTACTACAACATACTATTCCTTGCCGCGATACGCTATACTATACTATAATCTACTATAACATACTATAATATACCGTAATATACCATACGATACTAAAATAGTTTCTATAAGCGACCAGCAGTTGGGTTCGAGCTTTCGGGTTTTGAAGGCTGGCCTGTCCCGGAACTTCGCTTGTTTTCCAGATGCTTCTGCGCCGGTTAGGCGAGTGCTCCACGATTCCTATCGAGAACCTGAGGGTTTTGGGCTTAGGGTGTAGGGTTCTTAAAACCCGAAGCCGTGAACATCCGTAACTCTTTTCGTCTCCAAACCCCTAGATCCCCTCACCGAATAGAGGCAGAGGTGGCATTACGGCATATTGAAACCGAGGTGGGGCCATGCATTTCGTTGATCTTCACAGAATTGTTCCTTTGCAAGGGTTTTAGGTTTGGGGTTGAAGTTAAAGGCTTTCAGTGTTTTAGGTGCGTTTCGGGAGTAAATGTAGAACCTTTGGTATTGATGTTATTCCTTAGGGCTTCTCTGTACAGCCTTTCAAAGTATTTTTTGTATACTCTATCTATCTTCTACAAGCGAGCTCTATTCTGCTTACTCAGGCCTCTCGGAATTACTTAGAGTTCAGAGGCAGGAGTCGTGGCCTTCGAACCTTTCCCTCTTCCCGGAAGGCTCCACGTGTCGCAACATGTACAGGCCGACTGAACGGCTGAAAGGCGACACGATGTACAGCTTATGAGGGCTTCTGGCTGAACTCGGGGTTCTAGAGATTGAAAACTTTGGGGGGTTGGGTATTCGGGCTTTAGGCGCGAGGGTTTAGGGTTTTAGGGGGTTGAGCAGCCCCTGCTCAAAAAAGGGGGTTGAGTATTCTGGTTTTAGGCACGATGGTTTCGCTTTTCGTGCTGATCTTAATCTTCTGTGTCCCTATCTGCTCAGCGAGCGGAGCGGTCTGGCAAATCCCAGCAGCGAGCCCAGGGGCAAAACAAGGTGTCGGATGCGTGGGTCACCTGGAGGGTTGGGGGACTGAGCAAGGCAGGGTTTAGGGTTTGGGGCTTAGGCGGTTATGTAAAGTAATCAGTAGGATGACCCTAGTTCGGACTTATCACCTGCGTACTGAGTCCCCTGAGCCTTGAACCACGGGGGATGTACGGCAGTATGGTTGGTCGTTGGCAAAGGTAGGTATGCCGACATCTGCATCCACGCTTGTCGACTTGATTCGAGATGCATCATACTGAATGCAGCAGCCTTCTTACGGACCCTTAAAGGAACAAGCCCCCCTTTTTCCCAATGTCTCGCACGGCGAAGAAGATTTATTTGGCTTGCGACGCCTATCTGCCCTAAACCCAAAGGCCACGAAGCCAAATCTCCAGCCCTTGTATGGAAGTCGAAGACGATATTGAGAAGAACCACTTGTAGTCTGTGTGATTACTATCACCACCGTGATGATGATGATGATGATGAATAATAATAATAATAATTCTATTATGAATATTAATGATAATAACAATAATGCTGCCATAATTTGTTCTCAGTACTGATATGATTGATTAATATGGCACATGTGCCCAAAATACCCTTTTCCAGCTCTTTGGGCTCCTACATCAGATTTGAAGATTTGAACCCTCGGCCCCACCCTCAAGCCCAGAATTCCTAGGTTCGACATTGTAGACGACAACCATTATCCCTAATTTAAACTGTAGCACCCTATGCATGGTGATAGTATCCCGTGCTCTTATCTGACTAACCAGTGGGTTATTGACATCCTACGCTATGCCCCAAAACCCTATTCCAGTTGTTACAGCCTCTGCATCATGCTCTGCGCACAACATTTCGGGAGCTCCCTCAACCATGCCAGAGCTCGAGGTCGGCGCGCGCCACATGAGGGACAAGGATGATGATGCCGCTCCATTCCAAGAGAGTTGGGGGCCTTCTTGGGGCTCTTCGCTTCTTGTTTAGGGGCTTATAGGGCTTGGAGCCTTTAGGGATCCAGGGCTTGGGGAGCAGAGTCGGTTATCTTACGAATTCATGTATGCATGCTTTGAAGTTTTGCGTGGTCTTTTCAACGTTCACTTTGGGCTTGTTCCGTGGCCTTCCTGGTCAGGGTTCAGGGCTTAGGTAACCCTAAAGTCAAAAAAAGTAATCCTTATCAGGCTGAGTCCAGGTGCAATGTCCTAAACCTCAACCCTAAAATAGGCTTTGATCCTTAGCTATGCGAGAGGGAAAAAATTAGCCCTAAACCCCTAAACCCTAAACCCCTAAGCCCTAAACCCCAAACCCCTAAACCCTAAACCTCAACCCTAACCATAAACCTCCATGGAAACCTCGAACCCCGACCTTTCACCCTGCAGCCTGTCGGTGTCACTTGTGGTTCGTGAGCTTGACGCCCACTGTGGGCCACGCTGGGCCTGGGCTTGATGAGAATCATCGTTGGAAGCCTAAGCCACTCTCGTCTCTTGCTATGTGATATATCCTAAACCCTAAACCCTGGCTGCTGTGTGACGTATTTTGCCGGTATAGTCCTTCGGAACATATGGAAAACCGTAAGGTCTGAGCAAAGCAAGGCTAAAAGCATCCAAGCCCGAAATATTTGATTGAAGATTGAACCCTCAACTCTATAGGGTTTAGGGTTTAGTAGGGTTTCCACGTCTCGGTTCAAAAAAGAAGGGTTTAGGGTGTAGGGTTTGTGAGCGTTCTTGTCTGCTAGTGTCCCGGAGGCTTACCTTGGGCTCCGAACCGGCCCTCATGCAAGAAAGTTTTTCCAAAATTAGTCTAAGCCCCAAACTGCTAAGGCCCCGTTGTTTGACCCTTTCGAAGCAGGCCTTTGCGTACCTCTCGCAGCTTGCAGCGGCGGGCGCATGCTGCATATTGGGGCAGAGTGTCAGGGTGTAGGGAAGTGTGTGAGCATTGGAGGTTTCGCAAGGTTGTGGCTTGTTTGGCATAACGTGCCAAAAAATCCCAAGCCCTATACACCCTTCACCTCTGTGCGATGATGAAAACGTCATTTTGAGCGGACACGCAGCGATTAAGCTGCGGGGTTTTGGTGGTGAAACTTTTGGTTCGGAGCTTCGGGTTTAGAGCTTGAGGTTCGGAGGAGGATCCTTAGAGTTCGTCAATCGGTTGCGGGTATAGGTACAAGTAGGAAATCCGAGCTAGGGATTTTCTGGCTCTACTCATAACCTCTTTAGAAAGATTGCCTGATCCTTCAAGTAGTGCAGAGTGTGTTCTCTGGGTTTGTGGGTACACTTCCTTCTTAGCCTGGTCAAGACTCGACTTTACCCGCACTGGAGCTTCGAGATTCCCGGTTTGCTCCGCAGCTGCTTTCTGCTCGATTCCGGAGCAGATTGAGTACATCTCAGATCAGTTGTTTGTCCAATCATCCTCGACCAGTGCCTGTGCTATGTTTACTCGGAAGGGGAGCGATGTGTATGCTACGAACCAGCTCCAGAACGACGAAGTTGGTTGTGCTAGTGGAAGGCTTGATGCGTGTCGTGATGTTAGGTGCCGGCGGTCTCTGTATTGCTTATCCGAGACCCTACCTAAGCCTGCGCACTAGCTGGCCATCTGTTTCGAGGAGGGCTCCGCAACGCAGGGACCCAGGGAAGGTCAGGTGGCAACTCGCAGCCTGACGGTAGGAATGTAACCCGCCGTCGCCATCGCAGCGTTGAAGAAGCTGCCGTAGTCGTTGTCGTAGTCCTAGTCCTAGTCTAGTCAATCATCGTTGTCGATGTCGGCATCTGCCCCAAGTCCTACTGTTGATGGTGTAATTAAATCTTGCATTACCTTAAAGGGGCTTAACTATGGGAATTATGGTATATTCCTTAATATGGGTAATGTACGTTTTGTATCATCAGCCGTACCATTACCCTAAACTAAACCCTTGAGCAAACAACTCCGAGAGCTGATAGGACCTAAAAGTTCTGGGATGAGGCACCATGCCATTTGCTCTCCGACTTGTGGCCTTTGGTGCCACACTGGCCCTGGCAAAGCGCCCCTGAGCTGCGAATGTTTAAGGTTTAGCCGGTCTGGGGTGCAGGGCTCAGGGTTTTTGGTTTTGGTGGGTGTTTGGGAGCCTGGTGTTTTTTCCGCTTGGTGTTTGGGTGATACTACCATGGGAGTCTCGGGTGGGCTTTCTGGTTGGTGGCCGCAGGCTCGCCCTGCCTGTTTTGGGTCCTTCTTGGCTACAGTTTTACATTTTTTGCTATGATAATTAAGCTTCATAACAGTAGAAATGATTC